CTCTTCTGCATAATTTCTTTTGTATCTATGGAATTGTGACCATCTAGAGGACAGAGACCATGTTTTATTTATTCATTCTCCACCACCTGGCACCATACCTGAAAGATATTGGTTTGGCTAATACATGTCTGTTAATTAAATGAATGAATGAGTAAATGGCGATGCGTTATGCTCTCCCGTGTGGACAGAGGAGACTAAACTATGTTGCATGAAAACATCTGTACTTAAATTTTTTCTTTCATGTCTCTGTTTGAAAGAATGGGACTTCAATAAATATCTCTGATTTCTGACTCAGACTGTCATACGAGTGGTAAATACTATAGCCAGACAGAAACAAGATTTTTATTTTTACTTTGAAGAGGCCAAGTGGACTTTGCTGTGGTCTGTTCCTTTAGCAAACTGATCTTCAAAACGCATTTAGGCAACCACCTAATAATCCATTTCAGCTCATACTGAGCCTTCCTATATGATGCCTCCGTGCTGCCCAGTTTTGCTTTTGCCACGTCCCTCTTAATGTTACCTTCATCCCCTGCCTTCCACCCCTAGTGAAAGCTGGCTTGTCCTATAGGACATATCTACAGATAATCAGGTGGCAGGTTGATAATCTGATCAATTTATCTATCCCAATAAGGGAAGACTAGAGAGGTGGCTTTCTGTTTGATTATAAGAATCGCATACATAAAAGTATAGATGGCGGGCCCTGTTCTTATGTATTTCTATTCAATTGTTCTGAGTTTCACAGTCTGTCTGTCCTTCTTAAAGCACCCTCATAATTCCAGAGGTAAGGCAAGTTTGGAAACTGCCCAATGAGAAGCACAATCACAGGTTACACATTATGCTCTCTTACAAAAGCCACCCCGGAAAAACACACCTCATTTCCATTGTCCATCTTCTGAATGACTAAGAAGTTACTTCACAGCTCAGAAGAGAAGACAGAGGGAAATGCTTCCTTAGTAGTTGACCAGCAGAAGTCATTCCTGTTCTAGTTATGTCTTCAGACTCTGAAAATGCAATGAACTCATTTTCGGTCAGCTCTCTGGTCAAGGAAGTGTAATTTTATTCCTTATTCCATTTATGTCATTGCTGTAGATGTGATTTGTCAATGCAAGTTTACTTATAAGCTAATGAATATACATGGTAGAGCAAAAGTAGATTTACAGTTACCTGTGTAGAAAATAATACAACAATTAGTAAATAATAATATAAGAATAAACTCTGTGTTTTGGGTACTCACAACTATAAACCTACTTCTGCTCCATTCTGTATTGTACAAGAAGTCACATCCTACACGCCCCATCCCTCCACTGAAAGGGTAGGTCAGAAATCAAAAAGCTCACTCCCAAGAAAGGCAGATGACTTCACCTACACTGTTTTTTTCTCAGTATCAGATTTCATCACACCTTTCCCCAAAAGCCACTCTTCCTTTCCTGACTCTATAGCTGCAGGGACTTTATTTTATTTTGAGATTCATTTCCCACTCACTAATACTCTATGGGCTTCATGGAAAGTTTAAGTTTCTCGAATATCCCAAAGGAATTAAAGACCTACTTCTAGAGAAAGTGCATTTTCCAAGCATCTGGGAGTACCCAGCCTTCACCATAAGAGTGACAAAGTGGGAGGCCACAGTGGCCCGTTTCCTTGGTCTCACAAAGCAGCATCATTATGAAAAATGAGCTCAGCTGTTAGCAGCCTGGGAAGAAACTGCTATCTACCACATCACAGCCAACAGAGAAGAACAGGATGTTATGAGTACAGTGTGAACCTCAAAGCTAGAATCAAAACCATACTTGGTGCTTCCCAGACATGTGTTTACCTTGTTTTCTTCAAACTTCCAAAGAGCATTATTCTGTCAAATAGAGTATAAGCAAATCCAACCTGAGAAAGAAGCAACACAGAACTGATGAAACCTTCTTTTTCATTTTATTGAAAAGAAAGACCACTTGGGTCTATAACAACCTATTACCAAAGTGGCCTAGAGTTCCTCCTTGACTCTGAAAGAACTCACTTTATCTTCAAGTCTGTTCACTTGTAGCCAAAGTGAACCCTAGAGCATAGGACATGCATCAGGTTAATTTGTGTCCCCCAGACTCTTTGACTACGAAATGAAATGGTTGAGATTCTTCTGTTAAACATTCCCTGATACTCAGAAAGCAAAGCAAAATAATAGCAGAGTGAGGAGGAGCTGGGAAGGAGCTCCAGGGGAGGTGGGGGGACTGACAAGAAAACTGATGGTAAAGAGAGTGTGACCTCTAAAAAATTGGCTGTCCTTAGTAAATGTTTATTTGTTATTCTCAAGGCATATTTTTGTAAGTTGCAATGAAAAATAAATGCTTACTATGAACAATCCACCAGCTGTCAGGTCCAACTTTCAAGTATCGCCGCTCTGTTACAGTATTCTGGTAAAAACAGCATTGTAGACATACCCCCAGATTTCAGTCTGGATCTACTACTAACTGCCGCTGGGTCTTATGTAAGGTACTTAACCTAAGCCTCAGTTTTCTTTCTTAAAATAAACTATTGTGAGAATTAAATAAGAGAATGCATATAAAAGGTCATTTGAGAATTGCTCAATAAGTGCTATTGTTATTAAACCACTATATTAATCAAGATCCACTTGGTTGTAAGTGAAACAAACCCATCACAAACTGGGTATAACAAAAAAGGAAAATTATTGCCACACATAATTGAAAACACCAGTGGCAAGTTTAGTTCAGGCACATACAGATTTGAGACTTCAAATGAAGCCCCGAGGTTTGATGCCTAATCCCAACCCCTTCCTGCTTCCTTCTATCTTGTGGCTCTGCTGTGTTGTTCACCTTTGTTCTTCTGCAAGCTCATTGCACAATAATTCAGGCTCACATGCTCCCAGAGAAGAAACCTTGACTGGAGAAAAATCTATGAAGAGTTCTCACTTCATACCTCATTAACAGCCCTGAGCAAATAGCAGCAGCGTGAGAGAGAGGAGGCTCTGGCTGTCTGGGCCTGAGTCCCATGTTCATTCTGGAGCTGGAGGGTAATGCCTCCCTCAGCTGAAGTCACAGCAAATGAGAGTGGCAAAAGGGACTTCCCCAAAGAAAGCTGAGGGTGTCCTGCTACCCCAGAAAAGGGGCGTGGATGCTGAGTAACTGTCCCTGCAGGCCCCAAATTCTCTTTTTTTTAAAGAAACTTGTCCATGAATGGACAGTATGCAAACATATGTTCAAAGTGCATGAGCAAGGTATGCAAAAGTGGAACAAGTTCTTCCAGAGGCTTCTTCAGGTGAAATAAAGAAGAATGCCAGGCTCATACTCTCAGGATATTGAGTTTGCCATAGGTGCCCCAGAGGCCATTCCAGAAGAGGAAGTGTTGATGTCGAGTTAAAGGTTACGTAAAGATGGACTTTTCTAGGTAGCTTTGTGTGTGCTCCTGGCATTTTCAAATTGGTTCTATTCATTTGAATCTTTTAAATGTGATTTATCTATGTAGTTCATGCTGAAAAGAAGTTCACCAATTTGGTACCTTTTTATTTGGCCCTCATTAAATCTCACTAAGAAATATTGTCACTTCATTCTACTATTTCGTCACGTGGGAAATTAAAAGGAGTGCTAGAAATATTCCCAGGTTGCTAACTTTCTAAAATTGATACAGGTTTTATTTTTTGTTCTAACAAACTTGTGTGGTATGTTTCTTTTTCTAAAAGCAATTTGTGTATAGTTGCAGAAAAGTTAGAATTTACAAACAAGCATGCAGAGAAACTAGAATATCATCTCTAGAGAAGCTGTTGCTAGCATCTTCATGTTCAGCTTTCCAAAGCCTTTTTACATATAATGGGATTCAAGACATGCCATCCTCAAATCTGGCACCTTGTATATTGAATATTTTAAGCTGAGGGGGTTTAAGAGAACAGCAAAAGCAGAAAGGCCGCTTTGACCTCCTCTACCCCTTCTCCCTTAAGACAAGTCAAAAAATCCTCCCTATACCCAGAGGAAAGGAGCATCCTTATCTTCCAAGATGAAGGAAGATAAAGGGACGCCCAGAAAAAATCCAAACAAACAGGCCTTGCTCAGGTTCCCCTAGCTGATTACAATGACCTCATTCTCCTCCGCCTTTCTGTCCCTCCAGCATCTTGCTCTCTTCATCAAACCTAGCACAAAAAACTAGAGTCTAATTGTTTCTTTGCGTTTTCATTTTCTTAGGAAGGTCCCCCCATATTTCTAGTACCCACCTGGCACCATACAATTATTACAGTATTATTGACTATATTCCCTGTGCTGTACTTCACATCCCATGACTACTTTGTAACTGCCAATCTGTACTTCCCAATTCCTCTACCTTTTTCACCCAGTCCCCTTCCTATTGTGTTCTTGACCTTTGAGGGACAGCCAAGTTTCTATTAAAATCCTTTGATGTTATATAAAAATGCTGAGCATGTGAGCATTGGATAGTGCATGTCAGACAGTTGGTGGTTTTCATCAAGCTCCCCAAGGGCATCTGTAATCTAAAGTAAAAACCCACTGCTTTTCACCCTCTTTTTAAATAGTAGAAGTAGATTTATATCTGGCAAAGAAATATACAGACAGATGTTATGATTTATTTAACCAAATCTTCTTGTTGGACATTTAAGTCCACTCCACGTTTTGGTTGTTATAAACAATATACAGTGAATGTGACTATCACTTTAAAGTTTAATCACATAACCATTTCCCCTTGACCCTGGCAGACAGGAAATCGCTAGGGAATTTTTCAGCGTGGGGTAATACAGACTGAAGAATTGTCACAGCTCCTAGTAGGTGGCTTTTTACCCATAGAGGAGGATGGGCTTCCTCGCTATCCACAAGCAAACACCACAACCTAACGCCCTGTATGTGTATAATGTGGAAGCCCATCCTCCTGCAAGAACCAGCTTTGTGGGGGAAGGAGCAATATTTCCTGCCTTTGTCTGGATTTGTTACTGACTGTGGAGTCCTGCCCATCACCCAGGGCAGTGTTGCCACGCCTCTGTTTACATTTCTGGAGGACACTGGGGCAAGCCCAGGCAAAGCTGAGCAGCACAGTGCATGTGGACCGCAGACCAAGCCAGCATCTGGTGATTCCCTTTGGGGAAATAGAACCATGCCGAGAATTGGGGAGCTGCCAGTGGGAAATTCACACAGGTGAATGCAACAGGACACATCTGAATGGCTTGAAGAAGCTGAGGTAAGCAGGAAGGTGACAAGCAATAAGGGGTTCCACTGAGTTTGACCCACATATATGAAAAGGTCTCCCCAAAGCAACAGATCAAAACTGCCACAGTATTATCAGTGATTTATAACTTGAAGCTGAGCATATGAGAATTTGCCTTTTTAAGTTGTGGGGGAGTTTAATTTGAACTCTCAAATGGTGTTCTAACGATTTCATTTTATCCCATGGAATGACTACAGCACTGACAAGCAAGATCATGTCAGATTGTAAATTAACTTGCCGTGAGGTTTACAATCTAAAGGTTACAATCTCTCTAGCAAAGTGATGCAAAGCTCTTTTGCAAAACGTCTCTAGTAACATGCCTTCTATGTCCTTCAAATAGAACTTTTCTTGGAAGCCCAGTGTCTGTTATCACGCTTTCACAGATGGAGAAATACAAACACAAAAAAGATTAAACAGCCTAACTAAGATGACCTGGCAAGTCCTCCACCAAACACAAGACTCCTGATGACTTGTGACACCCTAATGCTTCCATTGACAACTCAACCTCACCCTTGTTTCTGGGCAAGAAAACAAGGGAAATCACTTACTGGTCCAAAAGACCTCACAATGTTATGAAGATGGCAGATTTGATCAGACCCTCACTAACTAGATCCAAATCGGGCCTGACAGAGGCTTCATTAGATCTAAAAGTCCTGCTTGTTTTAGCTCCGAGTCCTCTGACTTGTTCATGTCATGGTAAATTGGCTGTGCTGAAGTCGGAGAGGGCTCCCAATAAAGTGCTTGCAGATGATGGACATCCCGTATGAAGGCAAATACAGTTCTATTAGGGACAACGAGACCATAGTGCAGCAATGGCGAGACCTGACTGGAGAAACAGCCTCTCTAGTTGCCTAGAAATGGGCAGAAGAAAAACCCAATTATTTAAACACTTTAAGAAAAAAATTATGAAAATATTACCCCAACCCCATCATGAAAACTACTATCAACCTCTCTTCTGAAGCTGATTTTTTTAGGATTTTATGTCAGCTAAGTCACATTTCATATATTTTATGTTTCAGGTCAGAAAAATGCACTTGTGCAACTGAAAGAGATCATCTAGCCCCAGACAGGCTGTTTTCTTTTTTCCCTACAATGGAATCAAACTCTGTCACTTCAGACATGGTGCCAGTGAGACCAGCCCTTCAGATAAGCAGAGTCAGTGCCCATTGAGTTAATGTGACTTGAGAGGAGCCAAAAAGCCTGCCTGCCAAGGTGCCTAAGGTTTCAACCATGTAAGTCACTCCAGTGAATGGGACGTCGCTTTTCCAAAATGCTCCTGTCACAAGTGCTAATGCAGGCCTAGCGCAGCGCTCAGGCCATCACAGCCACTCAATGTTTATTGAACGAATGAAAGAATGATTGTTTCCTGTGAAGGATAATAAGCTGTGATTATATTGGGTGGACTATATGCCAAAAATATGTAAGTATTCGGAACATATTAACTCATTTGCTCCCACTATACATGGTTGTGAAGCATGTTCTCACACTGGCCATCTGCTCATGAGCCCAGGCTAGTTGTTAAAGAAATAGAATATTGAAAAGGAAAGTGTGCGGCCGAGGCAAGGAATATGAGAAGGAGGGACTGGAAAGACCCTGAGGTTTGGCGGAGGGAGAGGAAACCCGACAGGTAAGTTCAGTGTTCATGAGCCAACGCAGCGGGGAGGCCACACCAGTCTCCCTGGCCCCTGACCAAAGACTTTCTCCATGTAGAAGCACTACCGATTAGTGGTGTTCACACAAGTTCAGGAGTTCAAATCTCTGCTCTCCTGCTCCTAGATTTAGGACAAAGTATTTAACTTTTGTTGCTCTGAAATGAGCATAATAACACTCTCCGTGGGCTGTTGTGAGGATGAAACAAAATAACACGCACAGCCCTTAGAAGAGTGCCTGGCCTAAGAAATACTCAGGTAATGACATTATTATTATCACTAATATTTTTAACATCTATTATCTGTATAGCACATTTGGAGGTGGACAGTTTATTTCTTATCATTACAACTTCTACAAATAGATTAATGTACAATAGATTAATTGGTTAACTGCCCCAGCAGCTGTTAATAGGAGTATTAATATGTATATATCTGTATGAAAGAGGCAGAGATGTACTTTTCACATTTAAAATACTGCCAGGGACAAAGTACCGGACTTCTCCCTGCCTCTGTTGCTCACAGAAAAAAAATGGATAAAAACAATATATGTCTCATTGTGTCGATGAGGAAAGAAGTTAGATGAGTTAATTCCCAGGTAGAGCCTAGAACAGTGTCAAGAAGATAAAAAGTGGGATTATTGTTATTTTGTGTATGTGTACAATATATACATGTGTGTCCTCACATTTTTCTCGGGATGAGTACAATACCAAAAACCCATTTCGATATTTATAAAATCTACCACATAGATATTTACCACCTGTGATTTGTTTTCCCAGTACAGAGTACAACTACGACTAGTACGCTATTGTCACGGAGACTCTGTCCTCTGAGGTCTGCATCCCTACTGAACTGGTCTGAGTAATAAAGCCATGCCCAAAGCATGGGTCCATGGTCAAACTGCTGTTTAATGTTGCAGCAGCCATTAAGGTCACCTGAAAAGCTTATTAAAGGCATCACACTAGGGCTTGTGGCAGAGAGCTAGAGATAATCACCGCATCAGCAGTCCTTATGGCCTGCACCCCCCTGGGCATCTGCCTGGAATTGCAAAACTCTTGAATTCAAACATACTGCCTTCAGTGACTCTTACACAAGAGACTGTCATGTACATTTACTTCAAAATCAGTAAAATGGAAGGGCTCTTTCCTATTCTGGCAAAACACATAAGTGGAGATGGGGTGATAATTAGAGAAAGCAAGATTTGGCTTTTTTTTCTTCTGAATTTTAAGCTCAGAGTTTCCTGAGTAAGAAATATTATTGTTTTATTATTCTTCGTTACACCTACCTCATCTGGTGCTTCCAGCTTTGGAAACCCAAAATGATCATTCATAGCATACTTTTGTAGAATAAATATACACATATATGTCCATATGGATATTGGGGGCAGGGGTGGAATAGGTGATCTATTTCTAATTCCTACAACTTCTGCAACCATACAATAGATAAACAACTGCTTTAGCAGCTGCTGCCTATGATTAGTTGTATGTGTATCTATATGAAAAAGATGAATGTGTGCATTTCACATTTCAACAGCCTAGTACAGTTCCCAAGTTAGGGAAATGGCCCTCCTATGTGATAGCAACAACAGAGAGATTTCTGGTCATTGATATGCAAATGACAATAGCAGGCATTCTGCTGTGCCTAAGGAATCCCGTGACTGGTTTTACCACAAGAAGGTTATTAAAGTGAAACAAGGCTATTTTGTCCATTATAAAAAGCACAATCCCGTCCCAGTGAGTGGCACATTCAGGGCTATTGACATTTCAACAGACAACCAACAATAAGTCAATATAAATACTCCTTCAAATCCATTTTCTCTTTTGAGAACAATAGCTGTTCAAAATCATGGGGTTAAACAAGAATCTGAATCAAGCAAAAAAAAAAAGAAATCTAGCATTTGGTCAATCCTTCACATGTTAGATCATTCATAAGTAAAGGCCCTCAATGCCCTGGAGTAGTTCAGAGAAATCTCATCTGCACCCCTAGAAATTGAGCTCCAAGTCTAAATGATAACAATAAGGGCAAATAGCTATATGCATCATATAATATGTTTATAAAGTGTTTACTGTGTGACGGAAAGTACTGTATGCAAGTGCTTATTACTGAAATCTATACATTACATGCATTATATCACTCATCCTCACAGAACCCCTCTGAGGCCGATGCCATTATAATCCTCACTGTAAAGATAAACTGATGCTCAAAGAAGTTCAGTAAATTGTTCAAGACCAGAAATCCACTGTATGGAAGACCCACCTTTCTAATCCAGGATTCCTACCTACACTGGAAGGGGCTCTTAACTATTAATGCACCTATTCTCTCCACACAGATTCAGTGATGGAAATTGGATAACAGCCAGCAAAATATCTGCGAACTCAAAATATTTTGCCCAAGTTTGACCAAAGATTTAAAAAAAAACTCTCATTTGATCCATAGGAATATATTAACTTTGATTTAAAATTGTATGAATGATCAAGTTATCTATAATAAATTCTACCATTCATTCACATTTCACATAACAAACATTTATTGAGCAGTTAGTAAGTGTGAGATACATGCCAGAACTGGGGCAAGAGCAGCGAACCAGGTAGACACAGCCCTGACTTCATTCAATCTGCTGTCCTCTAAGGAAAGGGACATTAAAAAATCATCTTTCATTATAATTGTGACAAGTATGCACAAGGAAAACAGATTAAATGCATGGGAAACAGATTAATGGAAACCCAAGCCAGCACAGGAAAGTCAGGAAAAGACTCTCTGAGGAAGTAACATTGAAGAGGCTTGGAGACTGGGGAAGAGTTAGCCAGATAGAAGAAGATCAGTGTGGGGAAGAAGGAGTGTATTTGGGAGCTTTAAGTTACCTACAAGTCAAATAAAACCCAGAGCAAATTTGCTCAAGACACTAAAAGGTGTTAATGTGATAGCTTCCAGCACAGTTTGTCCAAGGCTCTGCTTTTGTTTCTTTGAGTCTGTTTTGCCAATTTTTATATGTTGGTTTCAGTCCCTCAGTTTTTATTATGATAATGTGTACCAACAACAGCCAGGGTTTTTATTCACTTTCAAGGGTTCCCTCTTTATGCTTATTAGGCTACCACAAACCATTTCTTCTAACCAGTGGATGCCTCTTGGCTGACTTAGGACTTTGTTACCTGAATCAGTCATTCTGGTAAAAAAAAAAATGAGTGGGATTTGTGCCCTCTTGGTCCCCAGAGTGGGTCTCTTACATCCAAATTTTATGGCTGCTACACGTAGGAGAGCTCTGTGAGTGTGTGGAGAAGGCAACCACAATTTCCATCAAGGCAGAAAACTATTCTGATCAAAGACAGAAATGTGTTCAAAGAACCTTAGGTGATTAGCTTAGATGTTTTAGGATCTGATATAAATCTCATGCGAAAAGCAGAAAATTAAGAGAAATAAGACAGGGCTGCAGTCAGGGATGGGCCAGATCTTGCAGGGGCTTGAATTCCATGTTAAAAATTTTTGGACATTTTATTAAGGTTAATGTAAAGTTTCTGTTGTATGTCATGATCAAATTCATATTAAAAAAAACATATGTAGAACTCTGACCAGTGTGGCTCAGTTGGTTAGGAGTCATTCCTAGAGCAAAAGTCGCCAGTCTGATTCCCAGTCAGGGCACATGCCTGGGGTGCAGGGTCAGTCCAGTCAGGGTGTTAAGAGAAGCAACCAATCAATGTTTCTTTCTCACATTGATGTTTCTCTCCTTCTCTTTCTCCCTCCCTTCCCCTATCTCTAATAATAACTTTTTTTAAGTTAAAAAATAAAAAACCATTCATGAATAAAAGGAAAAATTTCATCATATATATTTTATACATGTATGTATAAACATAGACTATCTATGAATATATATGACAAGTTGGTAGATGTAGTTGCTCATAGGAAGAGGTCCTTGGGAACTAGAGGACTGACTTAGTACAGAAACTTTTCATCGCATTCACTTTTGAACTTGCCTCCTTTTTTTTAACCCACATTCATACACTGTTTTTACACTGAAAACTACAGCACAATAAATTCGTTGATTTAACTGAATACTCTCTCTGCCCACTATATGTACGGAAAAACTGAAGGTGGGGAAGAGTAAAAAAAAGTAGGCAAGACAGGAGGCTCCTGCAACTGGCCAGGCAGGAGAAATTCATCACTTGGCTTCTGAAGGTACAGAAACAGAATTTGAGCCCAGTCACCTATAACTGAGGATCCTGCCCTTATCCATCCCCTTAGCTGAGCTCTGTATTCCTATGGGTGGTACGCAGAGGTAAAGCAGAATGAAATAGCTGCGGAGCCAAAGCTATTTCTGAGCATGCGATGCAATATGGGGAGGAGGTCTCAGAAAAAGCCAGAACCCATTCCTATGATTATAAGAGGATGATGGGAGCTTGGGGAAAGGGGACAAGTTTTTATTTGTGCAGAGCTGCAAACTTAATCGATTTACCTGAGCTACTGATATCCCCAGCTGTAAAATTATGCAAATGTAACACCTCTGAAAATGAGACTCTGCATCTGAGTTGAACTCTTGAGATCCCAGATTGTGGAATGGGGGCCTTGAATCCTCTCTGGCAGGCAGTCCACACCGAACAACAAAATGGGAAGCTTCAGCCAGCTTTCACCCCGCAAGCTGACTTCATGTCTGAGCTGGGCAGAGTTGAACTGAATGATATGTAATGTGTTCACACAGCTAGCACGAGTAAATAAATGATTACCAAAAAGGATGAATGAATGTTAGTAGCAATTTTAGCAATAATTATGCACAGTTACAAGAAATAAAATGAATTTTGGGAGAACACAACACCCAGTCCATTGCAACAGGAGACTCTGCATGTACATCGTGCCTCTGTCTCACTGTATTTAATCCTCCCCATCTCACAATTCACATCCTCCATAAACTCCTGTTCTTATCCCGCAGATGGGATGAAACTATGCCTCTTGAACATCTTATCACTTCATGATACTTCCTTTATTTTATTAATGGGTACCCTACAGCTTAGTGCTAACAAGCAAGCGATCTGGAAATTGAGTTCAAGCTCTTGGTCTACCATTTCCTACCTTTACTAGTTATGTGGCCTTGGGCAATTTACTTAACCTTTCTGTGAATGCATTTCTTCACCTGCAAAATGAGGATAGTCATGTCATGTACCTCACAGTGTTGTTGCGAGTCATAAATGAGTTTATATATATTTATATTTATATATATATTCATATGTGTATATATTTTAATATATATATGAGGTCTTTCCAGAAAAAGCCCAAGCGCTGTTAATGTAATGAGACTGTCTTGGACAACATCAATGTAACCTGGCAGCCAAGGAGAGTGAACTAGAATGTGCATGTGTGAACAATGACCAATTCACTCTACTAGTCAGTGAGGGCAGTAGATGCCATTGAGTGAGCATGTGTACTGTGTGGCCGTCATATTAAAATGACTGAGCAAGTAGAACAGCAAATCTGCATCAAATTTTGAATTAAGCTTGAAGATTTTTTCACAGAAACTATTGGGATAATTCAGAAGTCTGCAGCTATGGACAACTGGTGATTGGCAGCTCCATCATAACAGCACCCCCGCTCATGTGTCACATTTCATGCAGAGTGTTCCAATGAAATATCGCATCACCCAGGTGACCTTGCCCCTACAGCCCAGATTTGGCACCCTATGACTGCTGTCTTTTTCCCTAACTAAAGTCACCTTTGAAAGGGAAGAGATTTCAGACAGTCAATTGGATTCAGTCAGAAAAATATGACATGGCAGCTGATGGTGACTGGGAGAACTGTGTGAGGTCCCCAGGGCCCACTTTAAAGGAGATTGAGGTGTCATTGTCCTATGTACAACGTTTCTTGTATCTGGTATCTTTTTCAATAAATATCTCTATTTTTCTTATTACATGACTGGACACTTTCTGGACAGACCTCATGTACTATGTGTGTATGTATGTTTATGTACATATATTTATGTGTGTGTATATATCAGTTCTGGGCACATTGTAAGTTCTCTATAGGAATTGGTTATTATTACTATATAATTGTACATGATAATTATTGGTCTATTTTTCATATTCTTATATAGGTTATGTGTACTCTAAATTATCTCTCTGACATCGATTCTTTTTGTAACATAGTATGTTAGTCATCTATTGCTGAGCAACAAACTACCTCAAAACTTAATTTAAGCCCTGGTTGCTGTGGCTCAGTGGATTGAGTTCTGGCCTACAAACAAAAAGGTCACTGGTTCGATTCCAAGTCAGGGCACATGCCTGGGTTGTAGGCCAGGTCCCCAGTGAGGGTCACGTGAGAGGCAACTGATAAACAAATTCATCTCTTGCACATTGATGTTTCTCTCCCTCTCTTTTCCCTCCTTTCTTCTGTCTCTAAAAATAAATAAAATCCTTTTTAATGAAATAAAAACTCTTAATTTAATGACAAGCATTTATTATCTCACAGTTTCTGTGAGTCAGAAATGTAGGTGTGGCTCAGAGTCTCTCCAGAGGCTGCCAGTTAGGCTTCTGCCCGGGCTGCTGTCCTCTCAAGGCTTAATTAGGGAAGGATCCACTTCCAAGCTCACTCATGTGACTTTTGGCAGCCTCAGGTCTACTAGATGTTATCCTGAGACATCGGTTCTCTGCCACATAGGCCTCTTCATTGGGAAGCTCACAGCTTCCCCAGAGCAAAGGCTCTGAGAGAGAGAAACAGAAATCACAGTTTTTTGGTGGCCTAATATCAAAAGTGAGAACATATCACTTCTTCTAGATCCTGCTTATTAGAAGTGAGTTGACAGGGCCAGCCCACACTCAAGAGGAAAGGCTTGTACAGGGGCATGAGGGCTGGGAGGGGGGCTGTCACAGTAGCCCACCTTGGGGGCTACCTTCCACATGCTGTAAGAAATCAATGTACATTTATTAAATGTGTTATAGTTACTGTAATTCTGACACCCACCTGCCTATGAGAAACTGCATAGGAAACCTGCACAGGTAAATTATGTGTAAGAGAAACACCCATTCACTTGTTTAATAAACACGGGCTGATCCCCAGTGTTAGGTCAGACACTGTGTGACTAGTCAGGGATACTAAGATTTTTATTAAATGAATTTTAAAGCTGGATAGAATCTAGCCCAAATTTCTCACTTAACAAATAAGGACTTTGAGGCCCACAGCAGACAGACGAGTTGTAGAAAAGTCACAGACTAGCACCAGGACTGATGCCAGGACACATCTTCTGACCTGAGGCTTTCTCCTCCTCTAACAGAAATGCAGAGTCCCTGCCACATCGTCTGGTGAAAGCAGTCCCCCCACTTCTCGTTCTATGAGTTCAATCTTAAAGAAGTAACCAATGGGACATCTATTTTGTTTAAATCCTTATAGTTTTATTCAGTTCAGTCATTTATTTGTATTAGGATATTCTTTAAATAAAGACAAACTATAAGCCTTGAAGTTCCTACTTTCCTAGCATATATTTGCACTGATTTCATCTTTCTCATCTCCCCTGCTTCCCTCTGTACAGATATTTCATTAAACCTTCAACATACACCTGACAGAGATAACGAGTTAGACATCACCTGAGCTGGACAACCTCAAAGAGGGCAGCAAGTGCCACTCTGCTGGAGACAAAAACACACCTTGCCCCCAAGGCTGATGCTTCTTTGAATTTTTTTTTCTCCCCTTTGATCAGAAAACAATGCTTACGTGTGTCAGATTCAACAATGCCATATTCCCCTCCTGGAAAAACAAAATAACCCCTGCCCTAGACATGTCTAGGAGTGGAATGCACTTCAACAGGCAAATACAAGAATTTCATGTGATATAAATAGACTCCATCAATTCAAGGAGCCCGTGTTGATACTAAAACATTGACAGGTAATTATCCAAAGTACCTTACAAAAGCAAGTTTCTGAGGAAAATAGCTGCAATTTATTATTATTATTGTTGTGAGCCTCCATGATCTTCTCCATTTATGATTCCTATAATCTTGTCTCCTTTGATGAATCTACCTTTTGTTTTTCATTAAGGTGTCAATGCATTAGACGAAAGGCTGCTGAGCATGACAAAACCTATGGTCTCTTGACAGAGGAAAACAGAACTTTCTAACTGTAAGCCAAAACACAATTTGCCCTGCAGGATGAAAATGTATATGTGCAAAACCAGCTGCACGTGCACACACGTCGTTCTTGACAGTCCCAGAAGAGGTTACGGTAGGGATGTTTTAGCCAAGTTGAAGCAGCTGATATGTTGGGTTTAGCAGTTCTAGACCACATGACACTGAAAGCAGCCACCTCTCCCACCTACTGACATTGTCATGTCTATTTTCTTATGATCTTGCTGAACCCTTAGACTCATCTGAAAAGAGTGAGAGTCTTTCTCTTTCAAAAACTCTTAGGACCTTTCCCGCAGTTGGAGATCCTGAACTACACATAGTGTGCCTTGAAGCATTACTTATTCCTGGACTGTCTGCTCCAATGCTTGAGCAGCTACTTTCAAAATCCAGTGCTTGAGCAGCAGCTACTTTCAAAACTTTCCAGCTTCTGCAGGGTGGGGAGGGGCAGGAGGAGCAGTCAGTGCACCAGTCAGTCAATGGGGGGAGGAGAGGAAGGTGCCAGGGAGCAAGCCACACCTCCACTGGGGGTGTAGGTAAGCATTTCAACAGGTTCTTAAGAAGTGAGTTCACTGAGCTGTGTGGAAATTTTTTTTGCAAAGTAGTATCCTGGGCCAGTGACACAGTCCTGGAGAGTTTTCAAGACTAATCTTTCACAATAATATCCTCAACAGGAAAGGGGAAATGGGATTTTCCCAGGGCTTGGGGCTGAATTGTTATGAAAAATAATAACAAAGACTCAGAAAAATGCTTAAAATGACAAGAAAAGATGGATGTGAATAAAACCCCTCCCACTTCCAACACAGGAAAAATATGTCCCAGAAGGAAAAAAAAAAACTTTTCAAAGAAAAGCTCAGATTTTTAAAACATATGCAGAGCATTCATTTTAAGGTAATTAGGGAAAGCTATGTTCGACTTGCCAGAAAGCAAAGGCATGTTGTGCACTCTGGATAAAGATTTTGCTACCAAACCATAAACAGCCGTGGAGTGTGAAATATGCTGTCCATGTTTTGTAACACTTTACAACCTAGCTGATCCTAAGAGAAAACACAAAAGTGGAAAATATTTTCTAAAGATATTTTTTCTGTGCAACCTCCACTCCCATCCCTATGTATTCACTGAACAAAACAAAATATATTAAAACAAAGAACAAAACTAGAAATTTCTTCCATTATAATATTCCAGCTTTGTTTCTCTTCATTCACTCCCCCATCAGGCATTCACAGAGCTTCCTTCCGGCCAGGCGCTGTAACAGAAAGTAGAAGATGAGTAAGTTATGCACAGCCCTGCCCTACATAAAGGCAGAGAGCATCATTCGGAGTCAAACACTGCGGGGCTTAAAACAGTCTTTACAGAAGAGGTGACATTTAACCTGTCTTAAAATATGAGTAGAGTAAGCGTTGGCTAGTTTGAAAAGTGAGAGCTTTGCACATATATCAGAAAAGATGAGGCATTTGCTTTGATTAAAGCAAAGTATGCATGGAAGGAGGTGGTAGGAGATGAGGAAAAGTAGGGACCAGTCTTTATGCCATATGTCATGATGAGGCACTTGGACATTACCCCACATGCAACAGAAAGGCACCAAGGACTCCTAATGAGGAAATATTTCCTTTTTATTCAGATATTCCAGGCAGCATCACAGAGGACAGATGAGAAGGTCCAGTCAGACTCAGTATTGTACATGTCTACCAGTCAAGGCCAAGCCTAGTTTCTGCACAAGCTGGATCTTATATCACATCTGTCTTCTTTGTAATCTCTATCCCATTCACATTTATTATCTCCTGTTAATCATTCATCCAATTAATCATTCCATCATTCAAGAAATATTCATTGAGCCCTTACTAAAATGGCAGGCCAGGGATAGCAATGGGGGGCACATAAGAACAGTGTCTACACACTGGCAAAGCTTAGAGTCTAGCACAGCAGACAAATCTGTCTAAATACAAATAATTGCAATGATGTGTAATGAGAAAGCTGATGGGGAGTTATGGG